TCCTCTACTTTTGTACAATTTGCTATTTCATACACATTTGTACTTTCAATTTTTATTGATATATATGGCAAAACTGTATTTTCATGTAATGATTCTCCCTTTCTCATGAACTATTAGTTACTAGCCCCTCCCCATCTCTCTGACATTAATCACATCCATTTTCGGCATCACAGGTTCAGTCTTGGGTTAGCTTTCATGTATCTTGACAAATGTTTCTTTCAAAAGACTGATTCTGAATTTTCCAATCACTTTCTATTCTTATGCTTGATGTTTATTAATTAATGAATGTATCATGCTCGTAATGTAAATCATTAATTTTTCTAAACTAAAATAAACTTTAGAAAGTATTCAAAAGAATTGGGAGTTTTCAGCAGAATCTGAAGCAGGAGAAATTTTGGTATTGTCCTATCACTAGTTAAAACATCTTAAAAGTAACATTTTTAGATGTTTAACCACTTAGAAAACATTAGGCTTTTTTTGTGTAGTGCCTGTTGTTGATTAGTCAGGCCATCAGCTTTCTTTAATGTAGAAACTAGGAAGTTGACCATTGGTGGCCAGCTCTGCCAAGCAGCTTGTTTGGAAACTGAGTTATCATACATAAACTGGAACATATATTGCATTCAAAATTTTGTTTGTAAACAGAGGCTTTTGTAATCCGAGGTTTGACTATATAAGTGTTGTTGTTGCAATTCAAGTCAATTAATTAATTGAATATTCTGGTTAGTTAGTGCATTTCAGAAAATTATCACATTAATTGAGGAACATATTTAATGGAAAAAATGATTTATTTAAAAAAAAGAGATTTTTCTCACTTAATAATTAGAACTGATTTAATTATAACTTAAGATAAAAGGAAAACTATACACACTTTTCTGGCAAAAGGAGTTTACAGAACAAATGTTTTCAGTTTATTTTATAAACTGCCTCAGATTTCAAACTACAAAATTTCAATTTGTAATGTTTTGTAGTTTTAAACCTAAGGCAAACTTATAAAATAAATAGAAAACGTTTGATCTGTAAACTCCATTTGCTGGAAGTGTGTATGGTTTTCATTTTATTACAAGTTATCTCTTCCAGTTTTGATTTTGGACTTTAGCATAATGGGTTATGAAATTCACAAAATGCTATTAGAGGATGAAATAAAAAGATACTGTTAAACCTGAATTTTTATTATCTTATTTTGTATTATATTTCTAAATGTTTTTGTTAAAAAACATTTAGAAATATCCAAATTTATACTCACCTTTCTTCTTTTCTGCATGAAGCACTTGATAGCCCTGAATTATATTTTCTAATGTTCTTTTGTGTAAATGTTGCACTATTCATTCGGATTGCCAGTCAAAATTATATACAGTAATACCTTGACTTACGCTACCCCGACTTACGTGAACCCGGAGTTATGTGATTTTCAAATCTCATGGATTCGTCTTTTGTTTGAGCGCCACGCAACTCTTGATTACTCACTCCCCCTACACTATTGTTCAGCTTACATGTTTGGACGTGTCGTGCGGAATCGACACATAGCTACAATTTATTTTGTGTTATTTATTTCTGTGTTTGTTATATCTACGGAGACTCAAGAGAGTCTATGTGGTGATTTCTTGTAACCATGAACGAATCAAAAGACGAGATATGATTAACGAGAACATTTATTAGCTTACATACATCCGACTTGGATTTTACATAAATTGCGAAATTATACCCCGACTTACATGGTTATCGCTCGATCCCACCTATAGTGTAAGTTCGGGGTATTACTGTAATTGAAAATTTGTTTAATTCAGGTTAAGTTTTATTATAAGTATCTGTAATGTATAAATTATTTTGAATGTTGTTATTTTTAATAATTGAAATTTTTTTGTATTTTTGTTATATTTTTACTGATTTTAAACATACTCTAATATGGAAAATGTGAATGATTAAGATAAGTTTTGATTAATAACTAAGTTATTTATTATATTATGATTTAAATTGAGGATTTCATTATTAAACTGGTGATTTATTATAACATATCAAATCTAAGAAATAAGTTTTGGAAACTTTCAAAACGNCTTCTAAAAGACTATGCTACCTTGTATTAAAATAAATTCATAATATCAGGTAGTAGTCCATTTAACAGGTGTTGATCCACTGGTCCATTTTTCATTACTCACATTTGTGCCATTTATTTTTTTGTTAAAATTTATTTTAAGAAAAATAATTGTTTTCTTAATCATTTTGCACTTGAAATGACAGCATTATAGTGAATCATTGTACATTAATTGAATTTTCTGGTACATATAAACTGTATTTTAGCAAATCTTGCTTAATTAAATTTATACTAAGCCAAGTAAATATATATAGTAGTATGTTAAGTGCTTTAGTAATAATAATAGTGTGTATATATATATATATAGATAAATATGTATATATATATATATATACATATTTTCCTATATTTTATAAAATAATTAAGAATTTAACATAGTTTTCTTTATTATAGACCAAATATATTACTCAGTGTATTGAAGAAATTAAAGAGGAGCTCCGTCAAGAAAATATTGCAATTAAAGCAAATGCAGTGGCCAAATTAACATACGTGAGTAAATTATATAGCTAATATAGAAAAGTTAAATTATTAAATTATTTTTGTGATTTTGCTTGTTTCAGTTTAAGTAAAATTAATTTCATTTTTCTAATGGGAAACTGAAATTATCTTTTATTAAGAACTTAAAGATGGGAGATATTTATATCATTATACCTTATAAAGATTTTAATGATTAAGGCTATGTTGAAACTAAAATTAGAATAGTTAATTCACTCACTAAGCTTTGGAATTGCTGTCTGTTAAAAATGAATTTAAGATTTTTTCATTTGGGAATGTAAGAATATTATGAAAAATTTGACATTTTAAAACAATTAAATAAATTCAAAAGATTTTTAATTATAAACTCACTTTCAATATTGCATTGAATTGTTACTTATAACAGTAAACATAAAATTATTCTTAAAGCTGGAACTATTGTATAAGGGATGAAACTGACCTTTCATAAATTTCCAGCTGTGATAGCATTGTAAACAAAATGCAATATTGTCAGTGCTGGAAATGTACAAAAGGTCAGTTAGTCATCACTTAATAGTAAACAATCATCTTTCAATGTCACTTCTCTGGTTTCTTATTGCACCGTCAGCAGATATTAGAGCTGGCACATCTTGTGCTACATCTCGGTTTTCCGGTTCAACAACACTACTTACTTACAAAGACGGGGTGTACCCATGGGCAGCCCACTATCAGGGGACCTTTTGCGAGCTGGTGGTAAGACAGTTGGAGGGGAGGGTATTGCCCAAATTCTTAATTCTTACCATGCATCAGTCTATACCAAAGATACGTGGACAACATCTTTATACTTTAGAAAGCCAAACCGAATCTCGACAAGTTTTTGTCATGCATGAACGACAATGCTTACGGTCTCACCCTTGGCTTAGATTAATTTAGTAACTTGCACGCACATTTCCTAGATGTTGACATATGTCTCAGGGATGGCAAGATAGAAACGAGTGTTTACCGCAAACTGGACCAGCTTCCACTTTTCATCCCCATGAACTCATCCAACCCCTTTTCTTATTGTTTATATCATAAGTATATTTTCTTTTCATAGCTAATGAAACAAGCAGATAGTAAAAATTTAGTTATAGAGTGTAAGTAAGAGTAATAAAATCATAAACCTTAAAATAATTATTCCAGTTTTAAAAACAAAACTTTAAATTTATTTTAAACAATTTCAAACAAATTTTCAAGGAATAAAAAAAAAATGCACATTTTTAATAGAAAATAAATAGACAAATGTGTAAATCATGTAATTTATAATTTTTTGATGAAAAAATTGCATTGAATTGAAAAAGCTTATTCATTGAGTTTCAAACCATTGATCTAGTGATTATCATTTAGTCATGTTGCTGCTGAGACACAGAATCTTTACTGAAAAATTCTGCAAAGCATACTCATAAATTGCTTAGGATTTTTTAAACTTCAGTTTTCTTGAAAACATTCAAGAAGTGTATGTTTTTCCTTTGCTCAATAAAGGTTCATATGAAGGTTTATCTACACAAACAATATAATTGGAAACTGTGATGACAATGTCATGACTGTCCCTTGTTAATTCAACAGCTTTTTTAAAAAAATATATGGGTTTAGTTTTATGATTGCATTTTCAATAAAGAAAACTAACAATATCATCAATCCCTAATTATTTAAGATCTGTTCTTAGAATTTTGTAATGTTATAGACTCTTAGATTGGAGGGAAAGGGAGAATTGATTGATAATGCAAATGAATATCTAGTTTCATATAGTTCAGTATTCTCATATGTGGTTGACATCAGTTTTGCTTATACCTTTGATTCTAATTTAAATAAAATGTTTTTAATATAAAAAAATTAATTTATCAATAAATAAAATATATTTAAGAGGAATGAATAAAAAGATATAATAAAAAAATTACTTATAATGGTTTAAAAATTTCTTAAGATTTTATTGTATATCATGTTCATGTGATTTATAGTAATACTCTGTAATTATACATTTTTTTAATATTTTCATGTTTGCTACAAATGATTTCTTAAGCAAAGTAGCTTAATTATTATAGAAAAAATGAATATTACAAAGTATTCTTAAAATTAAATCTTTATTTAATTTACAATGTTCCAGTTTGAGAAGCTATGTAGAAATTAAATTTATAGTTGGATATATGAATTTAATTTAAATTTTTTTCTGCACACATTTCAAACTGACTGAAAGTTAATTAAAATTAAAAAAAAGATTGCATAGAAAAAGATATATTTTAGTAAAAACCTTAATTTTTTTGTATATTTTCTATGGGCACTCTTTGTATAATTTATGTTGCACGGTTACTATGTTGTCATTTTCCTGGTTATCAGGATTTTATCATATTTAAATTTAAAAATTAAACTCTCTTCTCTTTTCTGAAAATACTTTGAAATTTGAGTTTTTTGAAAATATTCAATTCATTTAATCACGATCAGCTAAAACATTATGATAGTCTCTGCAGTTATAGTCAACACTCATTAAGACATCCTTTCCTGATATGCCAACACTCATCTGCCAAAAAAAAGAAACTGGAAAAATGGCTCTTTGTAATGTCAAAAATATAGGGCTACCTTGGTAAGCCACCAATAATCAATTTAAGTTCCTGCCCAAATGTCCTGTTTAACATTACTTATTTGTTATCCTATCTAAAAAGTTTCTGTCAAAATTTAAAATAAGTGTTTCTATAATTAAGTGGTTGGTTATGTACAGTTCATGTACAGTGCAGCTAAAGGACATTCTCCTTTAACTGTTTCCAATCATCTCTCTTGTTGGACTAATGGGTCATTTAGTCTCAACCTATGAAATATTCACATTTGTGTGGATAGTTTCACATGTACACTCTTCACAAATTTGACTTATTTTTAGAAACTTTTAAGAAAGGCAAAAGGTGATGTATTTGTAAACCCATGTTTATAATACTGCATCGTAGTTAAAACTAGTCAGATACAGTTAACAAGCCCACTGTGTGTAATTTTGTAGTGAAGCTTAATTGTTTTCCTTGGACAGAATGCACAGAAAGGTGACAATCATGCTATACCTTACACCAGTGGCGTGTCGTCATTAGAAGCGGTGGAAGCGCCGCTTCCCTTTATTTTATAAAAAATAAATACATATTAATTTTAATTATATGAAAATAATCGCACAATATTTTATTATAATTGCATTATGTATATTATTACAAATTTCTATACTAAACGTGAAAAAAAAAAAAAGATTACTATTGTATATTCGAATATTAGTGGCGGAGTGGAATCTCTGTATTGTCAGATTCCAAAAGCCAGATTTGTGCACGCACTTTACAGAGCACCAACCTCACCCAGTTTAGCCAGTGGAAGCCTACGACCTTGAGTTGATGCTACACATTCCAATGCATCCAATTCTATCCGGGACCGGTTCCAGGCTGTTAGCCGCCCGCCCGCTAGATATTTGGCCGATTACGTGAATAATGAGTAGATTTATAACTTAACCCAACCGATAAGAATTTACTGGTATGTTTTTACAATAGTTCTGTATAGTTGACAGGAGTTAAAAAAAATCCATTAAAATATTTGATATTTTTATTCCGCTCTCTGATTTTATATTATTCACGGATTTCAATGTTAAACCGGTGATATTACGATTTCGTATGTCCCATCTCTAAGGGGATGTAGAAAAAAAAACGTGTACAATTCTTGTACAATGTTAACAAATTAATCATTACTTTGGCAGCATCATTTACAACTAAATTTAATGAGATGCACGAGGTACAGAAAAAGCTCTAGAATTTATTTTCCTTAAATTTATGATTTATGTATCCATTGTCATAAAAATTTGTCTTTCCACTTTTTCCCAAGACTACAAATATTCAAGTACAAAGTAACAGGTTTGACTTATTTCTACTTAAGAAGTAGTTAAATAATTAAGAGATTAGGGAATTAGGGACAAAATAAAACCCTGCTGAACGAGTTGGAATATTACTTAAAAGCTTAACCAACTCAATCTCTAGCTGAGTAAAATGGGAACTGACTTCTTTGTAATATTAGATGTAGTATAAACAGAAATTTTTCCAGTTCAATGAGAGTGACCAAAAAGTTGTAAATTTTGGAAATTTCCGTGGACACCTGGTCCTAAAAACAATTAGTTAGAAAACAAATGACTATTGTATTAAGTTTAAATTAACATATTTAGATTTTTACAGTTATGGTGAGAAATGTTTAAAGTTTACAACAGCCCTATCGTGTCCTTTGAGATATGCTAGTGATGCGAGAAAAGAAGCATTTGACATTGACCGGTATGGGCATCCTCGGGATTTGGCAGCCCACATGCATGCACGCATTGCACACCTAGAAGGACTGTCTCTGATTCCACTCGTAGGGAGCTATTTGACTAAGTGGTTAAGATTTAAAGAGTAAAGAATTTTTTATGTTATTTTTATGTACGTTTCATTACAAAGCTATATTTAATTATAATTTTCTTTAAAAGTATATTCATACAATTGAAGAATGTTTTGTACCAGGTATGTATATCCACCACACATTTTATTTCACCAAGTAAGTTTTTATCATTTTATTTTTAATTTTAGCCCTTATATCGTGGTTAGCGATTCAGTGTGTTATTGCAATATTGAAAATTTATTTTAAAAAAAGTTTTGGCTCAAGCTCATATAATGAAAAAGAAAACATTATTAAAAGAGAAAAGCCAATGCCTAAGTTAAATATAAATGCTTCAATAAAAAACTTGTTCAACATTTTCACGGTAAAATGGCTCTGTAAATGCATGAAAATGCAAAAATTGTTTTGTTGGCTTGCTACTATTTTGAAATGAAATTATTATGTGGAATAAGAATGGCTTTGACAATTTAGCTGGCAAAAGACACGAAAAATCGTCAATTCTTCCATATTTGAAGCAATTTGGAAATCAAAGCGGAATAGAATTTAACATTAGGAAACAAAATAATAATAAATTAAATATTGAAAATTATAACAATATATTACGACTAATAGATATATTTAAA